TCATTGATATTATCATCTCTGAAATCCATAAAAATATATTTAAAAAAATAAAAATTGGTATAATTACCACTTAAAATAATAATTTTTAAAAAAAGATATGGAGACCCACGCTAACTAGCCTTGGGTTCCATGAAAGAAAGTGAGGTGAAAAGAACCTTTGACGTGGCAATTGAGGTCATGTAGAAGAGGTCACAAATAGGAGTGACTAACCTTTCTTTTCCCTGAGACCAATCTCATAAAAGTGTTGCCTGCTTCACTAGTGCCCTCTCCACTGGCTTTGGCTTTCTATCTTGGTTGTTGATAAACAAGACGCCTGCACAATTACTTTGTCTCCTTTCCAGGGTGTGACAGAGTGATTCTGCAGAATGAACTCTGAATTCTATAGCTGTTGAGGCCAGCAGAGCTTCCTTCCTATCTTTTTGCCTCTTTGGAACATGTCCTATTCTTCCTTGCACTATAGGTTTGTTCTGCAGAGGTCTGCCCTGTGGGCTGCAGGGACTGAGAGGCCTGCCAGCGCTCTCAGGTCCCAAAGTGGCTCCCTCCAGTCACCTAGCTCTGTGATGTCCATTCTGGCTTCCGTATAGGGAAACCTCTTGGTAGTAGGGACACTTTTGTGTGTGGCATCAGTGTTTCCACTGAATCTCTTTCCTTGTACCCCTCTCATTACCCTGTAGGTATCACAGAGTTCTGAAGAAAGGAAAGGCCAAGAAAGCCCTAAAAGAGTTTGAGAGCCTGAGGAAGACCAATCCTGCTGCTGCACTGGAAGAACTGGAAAAACTCGAAAAGGCCAGAATGATGGTGAGGCTGCCTCTTGCCCTACCCCTGAACCACCTTTCCCCAGAAAGCAATATGGATCTCACTCTCTCCTTTCTTTCCAGGAGCGAATGAGCCTTAAGCACCAGAACAGTGGAAAATGGGCAAAGTCAAAGGCAATTATGGCCAAATATGACCTGGAGGTAAGAAACCATCAGGATGAGAGAATGGGTGGAATTGGAGGAAAGAAACAGAGTTGGGTAAGAGCCATGAGAGTGGATGGAAAACCAAGAGTCTAAAAAGGTATCAGAAAAAATAATAATCTCTATATATAAAAGGCTAAGTGACTGGCCGTCCATCTGTCTGACCGACCTGCTGGCACATATGATGCACACTGGCAATTTAAAAATAAACATTTACCGCACAAATCTTCTAATTAATTTCCTTTCAATGTGCACGAATCTGTGCACTGGGCCACTAGTAATAAAATAAAAAGGTATCAGAAAATCTCTAAGGCAGAGAGGAAAATGACCAGGAACAAAGTGGAAAAGGAGACATGGAAGGGGAAAAGAGCATTGAAGGAAAATCCAGTTAAAGAGGAGAGGAGATATATATACCATGTTTCACATGTTGGTTCCTTGAGGACAAAGAATTTGACTTCCATTTTATTCCATAGCTAGTAACACAGTGGTATATGTACAGTTTAAACAGTAGGCACCAGTAAGAAATACTTAAGTCAGATTGAGAGGAGGCAGCTTTAAAAAATGGACCAGGAAAGGTGTTATTGCAATCACTAATGACAAGGCACACGTGCTATGACTCCTTCCTCCAGGCTCGCCAGGCTATGCAGGATCAGTTGGCCAGGAACAAAGAACTGACCCAGAAAGTCCAGGTGGCCTCCGAGAGTGAGGAAGAGGAGGGAGGTGAGGAAGAAGAGGGTGATCTCCTTGTCCCTGATGCGGTGAATGAGGCACACATGACTGCAGATGGACCGAACCCCTGGATGGTCAGGAATCACTCTGGTGACGCAAAAGAGGCTGAAATCCAGAAGGACCCTGAACAACTTCCAGAGCCAATGGCCAACGAGGCTTCGGAAAGTGAGGAAGAAGAAATACCAGTGGCAGAGGAAGAAATTTTGTTGAAAGAATTTGAGGAAAGGCGATCGCTTAGGAAGATGTCGGGGCTCAACCAGGATGCCAAGCCAGTGAGCAGACAAGAAACAAAAGGTGAGTTGTGGTGGACCGGAAGGGAGAGCTTAGTACAAATGCTATGGACCAACTCTGAGAGGAAGACTGTGCCCACCCACACACACCGCAGAATGATGAGGCTCTAGGGACTTTCAAGAGAGTGTTGTGGGTCCTGAAGAGAAAACAGATGATCATAATTACCATTTTTCTTCAAAGGCATTTAATAAGTGGTCATCTGCATGGCTGTATAATGTGTGTTCCAACACGCTTTCTGCTCTTGAGGTCTTGCAGTCTTCAGAAAGGCAGGGCTACAGCATCCTTGAAGTCAGGGCAGGAGTCACCATTGCTGGTACCCACAAACCAGAGAGAAGTGCACATGGGGGGATGGCAAATCTGAAAATCGCTCACACCCACAGACATAGGTGATTTTGTTTTTGTTAATCCTCACCCAATGATATTTTTTTCCATTGATTTTTTTTAGAGAAAGTAGAAGGGTGGGGGAGAGACAGAGAGAGAGAAACATTGATGTGAGAGAGACACATCGATCAGTTGCCTCCTTGCACATGCTGGAGATCGAGCCTGCAACTGAGGTACATGCCCTTGACTGGAATCAAACCCACGACCCTTCAGTCCGTGGGCTGACGCTCTATCCACTGAGCCAAACTGGCTAGGGTATGAGGCTTTATGAAGCATCTTCAAATTATGGCTGTAGTGTTCTGTATTGTTTGTGAAGTAGGAATGGCATTTTTAGCACTTCATGAATGCTGGCTGATACATGATACGGGGTAAGACTTTCCGGACAGGAATTAATGACTTCACAAGGTATGTGGTAAATTAGAATTTTTACCCCAATGCTCAGATTCATTTGCATATTATATTTTCTACTAGTTATCTTGAAGAGATTTTACATTAACAGTGTTAGGTTAGCACGCCTAGACAGGTCAGAGAGCTCCCATTCTGGGGAAAAAGCAGGTCCTTAAAGCCTGCTTGGGAAACTACCTACATTCAGAATCACCTGGCTATCTGGACAGAATCTTTGGTCTGATTGTATTTCCTATAGGAATAATGCATTTGGGTGATAGCAGGAATCTGTTTTTATTTTATTTTTAATATATTTTTATTGATTTCAGAGGGGAAGGGAGAGATAGAAACATCAATGATGAGAGAGAATCACTGACTGGCTGCCTCCCGCACGCTCTGCACTGGGGATCCAGCCCGCAACCCAGGCATGTGCCCTGACCGGGAATTGAACCATGACCTCCAGGTTCATAGGTTGACGCTCAACCACTGAGCCACGCTAGCCGGGTAGGAATCTGTTTTTCCATGGCTAAAAATTATAAGAGCTGTCACTTAGAATGTATTATAAGGCCTTTACATGGGATTTTCAGCTGGAGAGTTCTGGGGTTAATAGTTACAATCATTTACTTCCGAGAGGATTTTGGAGAGCAGTGCTGTAGGCCAAGGTCATGGGGCAGTGTCTCTACAACCACAGGAAAGCAGCCACATCCTCCTGAGCCCCCTCAGGAGCTGGCCATCTAGCTAAATGCGTAGAGCAATTGCTTGTGGTATGGAAGGTGGATTTGGATTTCCTTGGATGATAAAAATAGAATGTTACCAACTCTTTGGGGAAATAGTGGGAAGTCATGGACCCCACACAAAATGGACAAGGAAACTTGGTCCTTGAAGAATAAACATAGATGTATCCAAAGTCCAGATCTCAAGTAGCTCTTCCAGTGGCTTCAAGCCAGAGCTAGAGAGCAGGGTGAACTTGGGAATGGAGGCAACTTGAATCAATTCAGAGGACAGTTGAGAAGTGTGTCACTGCCATGTTTTCCTCGGGGCTCTCAGAGACCAGTGGTATTTACTCATATGGTGCTGGTGACTGGAAAGTGCAAGCTACTTGACTCAGCCACAACAGGTCATGAAATACTGCTTTAAGATAAAACAATGCTGGATAAGGTTTTTACAAATAGGACATTACAATGTAAATTATAAATAGTAAATCACACTTTTTAGGAATTACAAATATTAAATTACAATGAAGTTGCATTCAGAGGCCACCTGTTCATTAAAAAGGCCTTTTTAAAATTTGGGACTTGGGCCTTGGCTGGTGTGGCTCCGTTGGTTGAATGTCATCCCGTGCACTGAAAGGTCGCCGCTTCAGTTCCAGGTCAGGGCACATGCCCAGGTTGCTGGCTTGATCCCGGGTGGGGGAGTGTGCGGGAGGCAGCAGATCAGTGTTTCTCTCTCACACTGATATTTCTCTCTCTCCCTTTCCCTTTCTCTCTCTCTTAAAAAAATCAATAAAAGCATACATTTTTTTAAATGTTAAAATTTGGGATTTGAGGCCATTTCCCCAACCAGGGTTTATCTACGGTATGAGGCAATTAAGTCACAGTTCCTGTTATAGAGTGAGTCATTGGCAAAGTTGGGAATAGGGCCCAACATGCTGCTTTTAACTACTCAACTCCATTACCTGCTACTTGATAGGTAATTATTAGTGAGCTCTCCTCTTCATTGGGTTGCCTCGGTGCCCAACCCCCAGTGGGTGCTCTACAAATGCTCACGGAGAGTGTTCAGTAAGTGCTCATTGACTAGGCAACATCCAACCTCCTTTTCTGACAGCTTTCATTTCTTCCTCCAGATTCTAGCACCCAGGAGGTGCTATCCGAACTGAGGGCACTGTCTCAGAAACTGAACAAGGACAGCCATCAGTGCAGGAAGCAAAACGTGGGTTCAGCAAGGACTGTTTTGTCTGTCCAGAGAGAGGAACCTGCTGGGGAAGAAGAGGAGCCCCCGTTAATGCAGAGGCCGGAGAGAGCACAGACTCTGGAGGAGCTAGAGGAACTGAGCAAAGAAGGCTGCTTTCAAAATGAGGAGCTTCCCAGGCCTGCGTTAGAAGGGCAGCAGTTGGAGAGGAATAATCAGCCCAGTGCTCCCAAGAAGAAAACGAAGGAACAAATGATTGACCTACAGAACATCCTAACCACCAAATCTCCTTCCGTGAAGTCTTTGGCTGTCCCCACGACAGAGGAGTTGGTGAGCAGAGCCAGGGTCCAGGGTGTCTTGGGCCATTGTGGGGGATCAGAGCTGGTGAAGAAAGTGCCCTTTTTGCACAAGGAATAGAATCAGTGAAGTTTGTTGTGCTGGGATCACATATCGGTAGTTGAGAGGCCCAGAATAGTATGGGGCCACGCTGGCTCCGGTGACAGTTTGATAGATGCAAATCTGTGAGTGCCACCAAGACTCCAACATCCTAAATCCTGAACCATCAAACCCTTTCTGGGTTACTCTAAAACTGCCCTCAGAGGAAAGAGGGAGGCACTCAAAGCTCTGATGAGATCCCAGGCAGGACGTTCGAAGGTGAGTCAAGGAGTTCTTGCCAAGGTTTTGTGCTATTCAGTGGGATCTCAAACGGTCCAGGACTCCCTGAATAAGTAATAGAAATTGCTCAAGTCAGGAGTCCTGGCCCTCCTTTTGAGGGCTATAAGCTGAAGGATGCCTGCATACTGGCCAGGCCACTTGGAGCTCCTCCTCCTAACAGTCCATTCATTACTCCACCCTGCAGCTTCCTTACTGAAAGTTTAAAATTGTGTCATATGATAATGAGCTGGGGATATTGACCCTAGAGAGAAGAAAATTGGAGCATGATTGGCTACCAATCTGTATTGCAAGACCATCATTGTTCAGCACTTTCCCCCTAGAGGGCGCTAAAACGTCACCACCCAAAATTCAAGCGCTCCTGCCCAAACCACTACTCTAAAGCAAGCTGTAGCTACAGAACCTCTTAACCACAGTATCTCCCTTCCTGAAGTCTTTGGAAGTCCCCCTGACAATAGAGAAGTTAATAAACAGAGCCAGGATCTCAGACCATCGTGGGGGGTCAAAGCTGATATAGAAAGTGCCAGAAAGGAGATTTTGTGGTTAGGAGGTTCTGTAGCTGCTACTTTACCCCAAACTCCCCTCTCTGTTATCACTCTTGTTTCTTCCCAGGAAGATGAACAGGAGAGAGAGCAAAAGCAAATGATAAAGGAAGCTTTTGCTGTGATGATGTCATCAGAGATTTCTTGAAAGAGAAGAGAGAAGCTGTGGAGGCGAGTAAGCCAAAGGACGTGGACCTGACTCTGCCTGGCTGGGGCGAGTGGGGCGGTGTGGGCCTGAAGCCCAGTGCCAAGAAGAGACGCCGGTAAGAAAGCCTGTCAAGAAGGGCACCAGGTTCGCCCAACTCACCGTCAATGCCCTCCCAGCTCTTTTGACTAAGTCCTAAGGCTCTTAGACATGCTGCTGTTTGCTTTCCAGGTTTCTCATTAAAGCACCTGAAGGTCCTCCAAGAAAAGACAAGAATTTACCAAATGTGATTATCAATGAGAAGCGAAACATCCAGGCAGCAGCTCACCAGGTGAGGGATGGAGAGCTCTTTAGCTGCCTCCTCTTTGCTGCCCAGCTCTCTTGCTTGGGAGGGACATTCTAGTGCTCTGTGGTCTAGAGGGACGTGAGATCTTGACCACGGAATCAAATCTATTTTTGTTTTTACTGACTGGCTCTGAGATGAATAATTCCAGATCGACTCTGCTGTTTTAATTACTGACCGGGAAGAAAGGTTGAGACTTACAGGGATAATCTCTGCAGCGATGGTGAGGCCTTCAGATCTGTGTTTTCAACTAGTAGCCCAGCTAACACTGGTGCAAATGGGTCTCACCAAAGGAAGAATTACTGTTCTTCAGGCTGGTATTTATAGTCAAGGTAATGTCTAAAGACTATACAATTTGAGCTACATCTTAAGAAAAACAAAGATGAACGGGCACTTGTTCAGGATAGTGTAAGAATTTTAAATTGTGTCATATGATAATGAGCTAGGGTTGTTTACCCAAGAGAGAAGCAAATTTGAGCAGTATATTGAAGGCTGTCATATGGAGTGGAGTCATATAAAGTAGAAGTTAGAGGAAAGGCAGAATTCAATTCAAGGGAAAACTTTCTGCTAGTCTAGAGAGAATGTGTTGCTCTGGGGTATGAACACGTGTAGAGAGGACTCAGGAATGAAATTAGACTCAACGACTTCTATGTTCCCTTCAATTCTGAACGTCTGTGACCCTAAGATCTGCCCCTAGCCAGTATATATTAAAATGACTTGTATGTTTCTTTCTGAAAAAAGGGGGGGAGGGACTATTTAATAGGTACAAAAAGAGGTGAGGAAATAACATTTCAATAACACTTTATTGATTTCATTTTGTAAACCAGTCACTGCAGAAATTGAATTGTAAACACTGTATTCCCAGTTGAGGCTACATAACCAGAAAACGCAATGAACAGGCATGTATAGGATAAGAGCGAGAGAAAAGGAGTGCTTCACCAGGCTAGGATTCTAGATGAAGGGCCGAGTGAGAAACTCAATAAAGACCACCCTTCCCTTCCAGGGTTCTTAGCTATTTGTTTTTTAATGCAGTCACAGCAAATTGACAAATAGTTTTCCAGAATCTCCCTTGATTTTTCCTCTTTTTTTTTTTAACTGATTTCAGAGAGGGAGAGAGAGATAGAAACATCAATGATGAGAGAGAATCATTAATCAGCTGCCTCCTGCGCGCTACCCACTGGAGATCGAGCCTGCAACCCGGGCATGTGCCCTTGACCGGAAACAAACTCGGGACCCTTCAGTCTGCAGGCTGATGCTCTCTCCACTGAGCCAAACCAGCTAGGGCTGCCTCATCTTTTAAAATAAGCTATAGACTGCAAGTCCCAGCATGCAATAGAATAAAATGTGCTTTATACTAAAGGGGAGACCTTCCAAAACTGAACACTCTATCCAGGTGTGTTTGTTCCTCTTGACCTGGGTGACGTACAGATCTAGTTATCAACCCCAATAAAACTTTACCTTAACCTAAAGAGAATCTGTCCTTCACTACCATCAGGACCACCTAGCAGTACTCGGCTTCTTTTGAGTGTTCCATTGAATATCTCCAAAGACTACTGATTGTAACTTCCCCATTTTTTTTTTTTTTGCTTACATCTTTTTCCTCCTCTTTGGCAATTGGGGAAGTGTTTAAAGATTATTTAAATGTCTGAAGATAGTGCTGTGGTGAGTGGCGAAGAGTGCTGGGCAAGGCAAGGAGCCTGGGTTCTGCTCTCCCTTGAGGCTCCTATTTTCTTAGGTAAATCACTTCCTGTCTCTAAGCCAAACTGTGGGTCTGAGGCAGATGACCTTTGTCATTACCTTGGGCTTTCTAGCTTGGACAGTTTGTGATGCCAATGGAGGATGAAGCTAACTAAGTGCAGCAGCCTGGTAGAGTTTAAGGTTCAGGAGTAAACCTTTGGGTTCCTTAAAACATCAGTCCTGGCCCTGGCTGGTGTGCTCAGTGGTTAGAGTGTCGGCCCTAGCACCAAAGGGTTGCAGGTTCAGTTCCCAGTCAAGGGAATATACCTGGGCTTCAGGGCTTGTGCAGGAGGCAACCAATCGATGTGTCTGTCTCACATCAATGCTTCTCTCTCCCTCTTCCTCTCTCCCTCCTTCCCTCCCTCCCACTCTCTCTAAAAATTAATGGAAAAAATATCCTTAGGTGAGGATTAACAAAATAAACAAAAACAAAACATCAGTCCTGTTTATCAAGGAGAGGGTAAGAGGGTCACAAAGTCTACAGGGATACACAAATGCCCGGGTGTTTCTTGGAGTTGCAAGGCACAAGAATAGGAAGGTTGTGTAGAAGACCCACTTGAGGACAGTAGCCATGGAGCTACTGTAGTGTTCCTACAGCTACAGGGGCAGTATCAGGGTGGATTTTCAATCCCTTAGATTGTTGGAGAAGCTTGGGGAGAGGGGGGGGTCCTAAATCCAAATTAGGCCCCTCTACTCCCCAATGTCTTCAGCAGATTAGGACTCCTAAGGCTAGATGGAGGCATTGGGATGCCTTGACCTCTCAGTAGCTTCACCCACTGCCTCCCTAGAGGCAGTAGAACTGTGGCCCGTGTGCCAACACTACCTGACCAATTGCCATTGTACACCTGCACCCCAGGCGAAGCTCATGCCTAGTCACTCTGCCTTCCTTTCCAGGTGCGGGTGCTTCCATATCCATTTACCCACCATCAGCAATTTGAGAGGACCATCCAGACCCCTCTAGGATCTACATGGAACACCCAGAGAGCCTCCCAAAAGCTGACTACACCCAAGGTTGTCACCAAGCCAGGACATATCATTAAGCCTATAAAAGCAGAGGATGTGGGCTACCGGTCTTCCTCAAGGTCGGACCTCTCTGTCATACAGAGGAATCCAAAACAACTCTCCATACGTCACAAAAAACAGCTGAAGAAAAATTAAAGATTGAGTTGCTGGAAGAGTGACATCTTGGTGCCTAGAACCAGGACCCCACCCAGAGTGCTCCTCCATTGGCCGGGTTTTACTACAAGCTACAGAATCAATTTCAAAATTCATCAGCACACATTTTAGGAATAAAGGCATTTTTATCTATTTAACTACAGTATATTCTGTGTCATGTTCAAGTCAGACAAAACGCCTTTGGATGTTCCCCATTGCATTTCTCTAGGTGTACTTGTCAGGGGAACTTCATTTTCTCACCAAGGATTATATAGTTAGTGCTAGGTTGGAGTGAAGTAAACCTAAACTATGATCTTAAATATATCACATCAGGCATGATCTACTGTAAATAACCATTTTTTTTTACACTCGGAGATAGTGACTAATTATTGTATATTAACCTCTGAACCTATAAACAATATGCACAATCCAAGCTATTGGATTTGGGGCTGGTCGTAGGACGGTGCTGAAGCTGGGCTCAGCTTTAAGTATAGCCACTGTCATTTTCTTGGCGAGTGAGCCTCCCAGCTCGCACAGGTCTTAGAGAAGCTAGCACTTTTTTCATTCTTAAGATACTGAGGTTTTACCCCTACTTTACAGATGAGGTAGAAGAGCTTTCAGAAGTAAAGCTCTATTCTCTTCCTAACTCAGGGCCAACTCCTCCCATTGATTTGATTCAAGCATTAGTCTGCTCTATGATAGTTCACCTGGGCTTCTCAGCTCTGAGGAACCTGCCTTTCTTTGGGTGACAAGAAACAGAGTTATGGACAGGGTCCCCGCAGCCAAGATTCCCAACAAGGAATTGGAGAACCCCTCCCCTGATTTCAAAGGAGGTAGCACTATTGTACTTCACCTCCTGCCTTGGAGGTTAGTGCCTCCAGCCTTTTTAGACCAAGACTGGGGGGTTATTTTTGTGTATTACCCCTCTGAAAATTTAATTAAATTATGAACCCTCCCCAGAAAAATGCACAAACATATCCACCATCTTGCATACAGTTTGAGGAGCTTTACAGACAGAATCCCTGGGCCAAAAGTTCTCTGCCCCTGAGTTTTCTTTTGCTATTTCCCCCATCAACACGGTCCCCTCTTTTTCCAAGCATACCAATTCCAAAATGTTTAGATCTCCAATGTAACTAGTCCTGATGCCTTTATTTTATAGGCAAGATTTCAGAGTAGAGGTCTCCAGTGTTACACATTAAATTAGTGGCTAAGTAGTCACTAGGACCCTAGACTAACTTTGAAGCCAAAAAGCCACGCCATAAATTTCTATGAAATTCCCGTGGTAGCTGTGGGCCCCTATTACTATTGCTTATCCTCTCAAAAACCAACCCGGAGCTGGGAATTAAGATAAATACCTTGATCGTGTTTTGAGCCCAAGGGGCATTTCAAAGTTATCTACTGGATTGATATATCAGCGATCTACTTGCTGGGTTGACACCTAAGTCAGTGGCCAGTGGGGGGAAGGGGAGATGGGGAACTCCTGCCTCCGTTTAAAACACCATAAACTTCTCTTTAGAGTACAAAGCGGCCACCTCCGTCCCACCCACCACCCCCCCAAATTGAAGCGTCCAATCAAGTGCCCCCAGTAAACGGCCAATCCCCTTGTACTTTCCCGGGACCCTCCTCAGCTCTCCGTACTCCCCGAAGCCAGGAGTGATGCAAGCGACCCCATCCTTCAAAGGGGAAGGCAGGCGCCAGAACATTTATAAACGACGCCCACTTCCAGCCTTCTAAGCCCCCAAACGGATTCGACTGTTGTTCAGTGGGGCTTTTTTTTTTCTTTTCTTCCTCCGAACCTCCGAAGTGTTCTCCCTTCCCATTGGCCGAAGCTGCCCCTTGACGCCACCCTGGCTTTGCTCGTTGATTGGTCCATTCTGGATGTGCCCAAGCCTTTTTCCCAGGGTGTGGCGCCCCCCCGCCGCCCCCAACAGGGCTCTTCCCCCTG